ATATTCGAGCAGCAAAGAGAAAGAAGCGCTGCCCCCATAAATCCTTTGTGAATGGATTGATGGCGAAAGCCATGATTATTGTAAGAAGAGAGAATAGTGAAAAATTCTTGAGAGAGATTGAGATTGTAATTGGGGGGATGAGAATGTGAGAAAAAGAGCTTGTAAGGCCTCTAAAGGCCAAGTGGCATATGTTGGGTTTATGTGGCCTTATGAGAGCTTGCATGAGCATTATATATAGTAAAACATAAACTCAGTGAAGATGAGGTCCTCTTGTGGATCATACCAGACAAATGTTATTTGCCAATACCCAGACTAAGCTCAATATGCTAAGCCAGTTGAGTTGGAAAAACCCAAGGTACCTAAGTATGGAGTTAAAACCGATAAGGGTTTAGTAGGTTAACCCCTGATGAGGTCAGAGTATGCTTAGATGAAAGCCGATGGACTTTGTGACCTTTATGTGTGATGATTGGCCTTTAGAAACAGAGCTAAAACCTCATCATAGTATCATCGCACAACATGTGAATAAATAGCCATATCGAAAAGGTGATCCACCATTGAGAGTGAAGCGTGTACATGTGCGAGAGATTACCCATATTCACCAGAGAGACATGGTTTCATCATAATATGGAGGACCATGGATTTGTCACTAGGGAGAACCTGAAATCTACGTACTGGGATTATATCCCATAGCCCATTTGTTTACTTTGGTGGTCTAATCATGACCCCTGTAGTGGACTGTGGGTCATGGGAATTGCTTGGTCAGTTTGAGAAAGCTAGTGTGGATCGTGATCCATAATTGAAGGTGGAGTGCTCCAGCATATTGATAAATTCTTAGACCTCGACGGAATCCGATTCCCATCAAAATTAATTAGCTTTAATTAATTTTATGTTATATTATTTTTAAACTATTTATTTGAAATTTTCGTATTTCTCCTGATCTTTTATTTTTGTTATTTGGATTTATAAAGTAAGAGAAAATCATTTTTTAATGTTTTAAATAAACTAAGAGTTTTAAATTAAAAAATCAAAATTAATATTTTCTAAAAATTATGTGGGAACTTGCATAGAATATGGGGGTCCATTTAACACATGGGTGGGGCTCATGGGGGGACCACCAAAAGGATGGCACGCCCTACCCATAAGGGATTGCTCTCTCTTGCCAAAAATGGTGAGAAGCACCCCATGCTAGTTCGCTTTCTATTTTATATGAAGCTAACTTGCATAATAGAATAAAAAAGTTAAATTTTAGAATGTCTTGTGAATCAAACTTGTTTGATTGAATGAATAAGGAATGAAGATTCTATAATAGAGAAAGTATGAGTAACATTTTTCTTATTTAAATATTTGATGGGATAAGGTTTAGGAAATGGATGATAAAGTTCTAACATCATCATTTGAATTTTGATGGTAGATTTAAGGAATGGATAACTCACATCTCTTACCCCACATATCTCATTAGATCAACAGTCAAGATTCGATCTCATTTAAGATGACAAACTCTAAGGCATAAAAAATCTATAAATAAAGACATTCCCACATTATAATCTCTACACCTCTTCTCTCTCCTCTCTCAAAGAGTTCTCTCTCTCTCTCTCTAAGATCTCAAGAGGGCCATGCCCCATCTAGCTTTTCTCCCTCCCCCTAGTTGATCAAAACGGGCCACGCACCAATATAGCACACGTACCAATCTAGCTCTCTCTCTCTCTCTCTCTCTCTCTTGGTGGGTTAAAAGTGGGGGCACAGCCCAAGTAGTAGCTCTAGTTTTCTCTGTCAAGTTGGTCAAGAAAAGGGAGCAAACCCAAGCAAGGTGGGTTGTAAACGGGGCCAAACAAAGTAAGTACATCTCTCTTTTTTATTTCTATCTCTTATCTCTTTAAAGATCAAGCCAAGGGGCTTGAATAAGACTAAGGTATTTAGGCTTTCGTTAGTTAGTTATAGATCGAGATCCATATGCTTTTGAGAGGGTTTTGCCACAAGTAGAAGAATTAAGAGACCAATTATTGATTCACAACACCATTGGAAGGAAGAGACTCAGCATGGGGTGTATTAAGCCTGGTTGAGACAATCTCCGATAACTTTACTTCTTTAAATTTTATTTTTGTGTTGAGCTATTTTATTCTAAGAAAACAATGAGCCAATGTTTTGATTTAAGGAATTATATTAAATAGTGGTAACAAGACAGAACCATGTCTCTTTTGTTTTATTTATTCGTTTCAATAGTTATTTATTTGTAATTGGACATTGCAAGTGGTCTTGCAGGTGTAATAATAAGAAAAAGTTTAATTTATATACACCATGCCTGATCACATAGTCCACCTTTCAATGATTTCATAGAATTGTACCATGCATCATAATAAGAAGTTGGGGTTTGAAACCAAGAATCCATCCTTCTAAAAGAACGACCTAAAAGCCATAGATAATAAATGAAATATACAAATGTAACTGAGAAAAAAAATCAATTGAAGGCTTGGGATCTAAGAGTTTCCACTGTATCTAGTCATCCAAAAAGAATATGGCACCTTGAAAGATAGACTACTCGAAATTACTCATACCCCGAAGTAGTTACTCTATAAATCTTTGGTAAACCAGAGTAATTACTCTGTGGACGTAGGCACCTTTATTGAACCACGTATATTCCTTGTCGATGTCCTTCTTTCTCTCTCTTCTTTATATCTTTACTTATTTTGTTTCTAACTAGTTATGTGCATGATCCTAATACGATCCAACTTTTTGGGATTTTTATTTTCACATCTAAGAGAGTTCTTAAATCCTAACAAATGGCATTATAGTCATCAATTATCTTTTCAAATATATTAAGACACTAAACGCACATGTCTGCTTCCGTGCATGCAAGGCACGCATAGTTGTGCATGTCATTCTAAATGTGAATGTGTTTTGTTTTGGTTTCAGTATTAACCGTTTGAAAAATTGCTCAGCAAGGAACTGGGCTTGCGTTTGAGTGTCATCAGTTTACTTCAAACATTGCTATATCTCAAGTTCGATTCGAAATACCCAAAACTAAAAAAAAA